CAGATTTGCCCAGGTGGATTATGGACTATTGTACTAGCTAAGGTCTAGGATTGCAGTATTTGAAGCAAAAGTAGTTTGCGAAGGTTAAACTTTTATACCCATGTGTTTGATATATGTTATCTGTAAAAATTCTAGTTCCTGGGAATCAGCAAGACCTTCCTTCAGTAAAGAGTGAAGATTTTGGAAATGTGCAGGAGATGTCTACGAAAAACCTCATTGTTGGTCCACTGAATCTTCGACTGGATAGCAGTGCCGTACACCGGATAATGAAAATGATCGTTTGTGCTCTGGAACATGAGTATGAGCCATACAGGAGAACTAAGCCAGGTTTGCTGCTACTGCCTATACACAAACATACAGAAATAAATCAGACCAATTACAGTGCTCCTGAAGGAGTTTAACTATTCAAGTTTTAAATATGCCTGTTTGTTTAGTCCAAATAAAAATAAAATGAGGATAAAAGTATCTCTGCCAGTGTCAGACAATTTGACAGCCGTAATTTTCAATCACAGGCCTCCTGCTGAGGGGAGTGGTTATTTTATTGACACTTCAGGCTTGTCTTTGGAGCCTTAGAGAAGGAAGAATCCCTGCATTAATTAGTTTGAAATAATAGTTAAGTGAAGGGGCAGGGGGAGCTGGTTGGAAACAAGCCATGTTAGAACCGTTTGATCAGTAGATTACATAAAACTTAGAGTGAACTTTGTGGATTCCTCACTTCTGAAACGGGTGTTTCAAAGTTACAAAAATACTCCCAGCTAGGATTGCATTTAGGCTTAGGTGGAACAAGTGTGGAAGGAATAAAATTATTAAATATGGAGAAATGAACAAATTGTTTTCTATCTTTGCTAATCTCTAAAGCATTTATCAAACAGCCACTGTAGGTAATGTTTTATTTATATTTTTCCCACTTATGTAATCTTGATTTGTTTCAGATGTTACAGATGGAAATAGAACTATGCCAAACTCAGAAGAAGTAGCATCGCTGGAAGAATACATTCCCACTCGACTTACAACGTTCACTATTCTTAAGTGTACAATTACAATCCCTGTGGCAGAATTCAATTTGCTGGACCACTTGTTGCCCATAATCATGGGTGGGAAGGTAGGTATATGCAGATATTTATTCAATTCTTTACCTGAGCATGTGCTATTTAATTTAAATAATTAGGTTAAAATATATAAAGTTGTAAAGTCAAATGTGCATTACCTTAACATAGGGTTAGCTGCATCTCTACTTTTCATCCCTAAATGTGTCTGTGTAAAATAATGGAAATTGAAGGAATTCCTATCCTGGCATGGAAGA